GCCGGTGCTGCCTGGGTCTGAGAACACTTTACCCATCAACAGCAATTACCTTGAGAGGCTTTTCTGTGTAAATAACGGTCTTAAGCATGCATATGTGCCAGGGTAGCATAGGTGCTTCGGTTTGGGAGGAAAATGGCCGGATGTGATATTACATGGTGGCAAATATGGTCGTGAATACAAACTTTTTCTTGATCCTTTCTACAACGATAAGAAAAGTATGTAACTGTGTTACTTGGTCATTATTGAACTGGTGATTCAGTCGGGGGCTCAGTCCAATATCTGGAGAGTGGATAAACTAAAACTGGAAGGCAGGAGCATATCGGTGCTTTGGAGAGGAAGGGACTTCTGGACACGCATAATTCTCTAGATGAAGTGCCCCTAAATGCAGCAAAATAAGTATTTGCCGTAGGTCGGAAAGCTAAAACTTTTCACTGGAAGTACTGGATTTGTTTCCATTCCTTATAGTAAATCAACATTAACTCTTAGGCTTTTTCTGCTCTCATTTTAATTATAATATCAAAGAAGAGAACATATGCTTATGTTAAGAATTTTGTTTATGTTTACAATGCGTATTTCCCCCTAGACTTTTATATCTAGATAATATTGCCTTCAGTGTTTAAAGTTAATTTTCCATTGTAATATATCCACTACGGCTATGTAGTAAACATGCTAAGATGATTGTGTATGAAACTTCACCATTCACAGATTTACATTTGATAGTAGTTGATTTAAAAAAAAAAATTAAGAAACTGGTTTCTTTTGCACATGCTTGCCAGTTGAATTCTGGTGTAGGTGTTGGTGAGACAGTTAACTAGGAAAAACATACAACTGTGAACTTGGGTCATATTCAAAAGGTGAAGGAAGAACTATCTGGCAAATATTCTGTTCAAAGTGTAAATGAAAATATAACTCTCAAGTCTACATGTGTTAACGATTTGTGGTTTGAAAAAGTTTTCATATTGAAATTTTTAAAGGTTTTTTCTGTCTCTTTTAAACTTTGATCTCTTTTGTCTGGTAATATAAGGATATGTTATTAATATACATTAACAAATCCACAGCTTTTTTTTCCGCAAGTCTTTATTTCCTTTAAATGTTTTAAAACGTAACTGTTGTGATATATCAGAACTTAGGTGAGCGTTCAGTCAGTCAGCAGGTTGGGTACTAAATTCAGCTGAACCTGTAGGAAAAGGAGTGCAATGATATCAAAGATATGAAGTGCTACTACTCTGCCTTTTTATATTCTCATCTGCCAAATAAATCTGCAAGTGTGGAGTGGTTTTGTGTTTAAAGATACTGTCTCAAACAAGAGTCTGTATGACTGAATGACTTTGCAGACTTGAATCCTTACTACTGTTTCCATTCATGTTTCTTGCCTGGAATTAACTAACAGGCTGGAGGCTCGGTAGAAGCTATATGCAGTTTTTAAAGAACACAAGGATAAGCCTAAGAAATAACCCAAGAAAAGAGGTAGAAATATTGTATTATGTTTTAGTAGTTGAGGCTTGTCTGTGTTGGAGACAATGAGTTTGTGTTCTTGTGCTAAAACAGAAAACGAAGTATCTGGTATTGTATTAGAAATTTAGTATATTTTTAAAGAGATATGATCTGTCTCTCTCCTGCTGTTTTTGTTTTTTTGTTTGTTTGTTTTATTTTTTCCCCCTGGGATTTAAGTGCAACTCCAGCTCTTTTATTTTTTTATTTCCCTTAAGTATATTTTCTCTTTGCTGCATCTACTGTGAAAGTTCACTAGATAGTCATTTTACAAATATATCTAGAGCCTTCATCTTCCTTCATGGCTGGCTTTAGTGGAATCTTGCACCTGCACACACTCTACTACACAATTTGTACTCCTTGCTATTTCATTTATCAGTATTACACTGATTTTACTTTGAGTGGAAGGTTGACTCTAAGTATGTTCAATGCTATTGGTAATTTTGATTCTGCATTCATGAAATACAACTCTCTTATGCACTGAAGGGTGTCAGATGTGTTCAGGAATTCCACTGGTCTTAGTAGAGTGTTTATAAGAGGCAGCTGGTGTAAAAGGAGTAAGTAATCAGTGTATCACAGGGTGTGAGTCCTCATTATAATTTGATAAAGACTGTAGTATTAATTTTGCTTTATTGAGCGTGTTATATAGGAGGCAATTTGTGTTCAAATTGAAGCACAAATATGTGGCTTACAATCACTGATTGCATGCTAGTAGGATTTAGATAACAACAACAAACAAGAAGTAAGCATGAACTTGGGAGAAAATATCTTATTTTCTCTGTAGCAACACTGATGACATGACCACAGTGGAATATTGCCAGACTTTTCAGTATGCCAGCAAAAGTGAACACTTTTCAATGACTTGCCTAACATGAACAACTGGAATATATCCTCTCTCCCATTTCATTTTATTTAGATGTTCTTCCTGAAGTGTTCACTAACTTATTAAATGCTAATTTGGACAAAGGAGGTAAGAAAGAAAATACAGGAAATGGGACATTCATTATTAATTTTAATTAATCAACAAATTAAATCTGTTGTTTACCTGCAGCTCTTAATGTAAACTGTATCATTTGAACAGGGGGAAATCATACTGTTGGCCTGGTTACCAGAGACTATTTGTGACCCTCTGGTTCTTTGAATATAATGATTCACCCCACAAGTAAATTTTCTGCTGCCAGACAGGTGTCATATGTAGTCTCCATTCTTTAGCGTGGTCCTTAAATAACATGATGGACCATGTTTTACACTTATTTACTTCTGAATTTTGTTTTCTGAAAAGATGAAGGTTTTCTGAATTCCTGCAATAAGCAATTTACCCTACGTCCAGTTGATGTTTGCCAACTCCAAAGAAAGAGTGGGATCACCCTGCCTTTCCGACTTCATACATGAGAGATTCTCACAGTTGTCATGAGCAAAATAACTTGGTTGTTATTAAAGCAGTAACAGACACGTAAAGTTCAGAATCGTAGCATAATTCAGGTTAGAAGGGACCGCTAGAGGGGCAATGCAGTCTAAACCCCTGCTCAAAGAGGGGATAACTTCAAAATTGGATCAGATTCTGCAGGCTTCATTCAGTCAAGATCTGAAAATACCCAAGGATTGGAGAGTCTACAGCTTCCCTGGGCAACCTGTTCTGCACAGAAGGGTGTGCGTTTTTTGGATGAGAAATACATGGATTGTCATGACTAGTTTTATATTAAAATATATACCTATATCTGCATGAAAATTTCTGAAATTACTATTATGATGAGGTACCACCACCCTGAATATAAATAATATAAATGGTGCAGAAAATATTTATAAATTGTCTGTATGTGGCAGTGGCCCATGTTAAATAGATTTCTGGTGGTCTGTGTTAGTTCTCTTTTGTATTAATGTTGCTTATTACTCAATGGATTCGTGGAAACATTGAGAATAATTTTTGGTATTTAAAAACTACTTTTGTTAGTTTTTAAAACAGGAATAGATTTCAACAGCCATTTACTTAAAATAATTCCTTTTGTGGTTTTTTTTCTTTATTTATATAGATTTAAGATTTAATTACTATAAAGAATATAGAGCTTAAAAAGGTCTCTCTCTTAGGTAGAAGAGCTGATGAATGCACTGGAAAAGACTAGACAAGAATTAGATTCTACCAAAGCCCGTCTTGCCTCAACACAGCAGTCTTTGGCTGAAAAAGAAGCTCATCTGGCTAACCTGAGAATAGAGCGAAGAAAACAGCTTGAAGAAATTCTAGAAATGAAGTAAGTGCATAGATTTTGCTAATTTCTAGAAAAATTAAAATTACTACTTTCTTTCCATGAGAGATGGTGGTTTTTTCCTGTAAGTGTTTTTTCTGTGTATATCTAACGTCTACTAATAGTTGTAAGACTGCTAAATTCATTTTGAAATATTGAAATGCAAAAACCTTCATTTTAGAAGTACTCAACAATTGACATGAGAAGAATTTTTTGAAAGCTGTCCTTTGTTACATGCAAATAAAATATCAGCACAGTATAACTTCCAGGAGAAATTGAGGGTCTAAAGCCCCATCTTCCAGTGGGAATTCTATGTTGGAGTTTCTGTTAGTGTCAAATTTGAGGAAAGGGGTTTATGAAATTTATGTGGATGGTGCAAAGTTTATTGTATTGAATTGGTTAAAAAAAACCCCAAACAACAAAAACCTATTTGCATATACTTCTCTGTATATATGTGTACTGAATGAAAAAGATAGACGTATAATTTAAATCTAACTTCCTACCCACAATGAAGGTTACGGGTTGTTAAAGCTCTGACATGATCTTTAAAATTGGCAAAAAAAAAAAAGTGAACCTGTTATGACTTGGCCAGGCTGGTAAGTGTGTAGTTAACATTCAACAAAGAAATTTCACAGTTGTAATTTCAAAAGTGTTTTATTGAGGGAGGGGAAAAAAAACCCCCAAAACTCTTAAGCCATATACAACTTCAGCTAAGTTATTGTAGATATCCTTACATTCTAAAGCAAGGTAAATAATCAGAAAAAATAGAGTTTTATAAAAGTAGGTTTTAAGAATGGCTGCCATGTAATACAGGTGCAGGAATATGGTTATGTAAGCATGAATGTTTCCAGTGAAATCAAAAGGACTTGTGCTTTTGACTTTACTGAAATCTGTATCTATACAGAAAAATGAGAGCACACACGAATTAGAGTAGTATGTGATATAGTCTATATTAGATATACATTTTTAGTTTCCTGATTTTCTTTTATATGTACATATTAATTCACCTATGATAACCAGATGCTCAGTGCCAGTATATTTCATGCAGTCGTGTATTTTCTATATAGTGCTTTGGTCTATTTCTTTGCATGCTTCTTTTCCATTCTAATGGTAAGATTGTTTTTTTCTTTTTATCATAATTATCAATTATTGAGCAACATAGGGGAAACAAGCAGTATCTTTAATTCTGTTATTTTGGCTTTTTTGGTTGGGTACACAGAACATCATGGAAGAACTGTGTAAGGAATGTATCTTCAGTCTGGGAAGTAAGGTTGGCAAAAACCGGTGAAGTTTGACTTTTCTGTTGATAAAAGCTATTGTATTTTATGAATAAAGGACTGAGTGAATTGTACTAGTGGTGAAAGACCCAGTATCAAAGGTCCAAGTTAGGAATAGTTTAGAATTTAACATGAGATATAAACATATAATGTGTTTTTACAGTGTAAATTTTAAATGTAAAATAGGAAAATCAGAAGAAAATTGTAAATTAGCATGTAAAAAATTAAATTAGTAAAAATTTCTAGTTAAATGTATGTTTTTTTTTTCTTTGAGTAGTCATTATTATGGTTTCTTATGTAAAAAATACTTCTTTCTTATTTTTCTCTTTTGCCTTTGATTTCTTAATTGCTACTTCGTTAGCTGTGTAAGTGTGTAGACTTTTTCTGCCATTACCTTTTTTCTGTCTTCAGGAGAAGCAATTGTTCCTATACGGTTTTCATTTTTAATCCTGAACTGACCTAAAATTCATTTGAAATTCTAAGTTAATAATAAAATCCTTCTAACCTGTAATAATAAAATACAATTAATTATAATGCATACTTCTTCCTACTTAGGCCACAGAGAGTTACCTAATCCTCTACTAGGTAGCTTTGCCAGCTACCTAACCCTGTGTTGTTACCTCTAAGAGTCTAATGCTTTAACTGATAAACAAATAACTCCCCCTGAAATCTGTGATTCAGCTAATAACTTAGAATTAGAACTGACTTTCATTAAAAAAAAACAGATATTCTATTATTATTTTTAATTCTATCCTAACTTTAGTTTCTGTGAAATATGTTACAAGGCTGAGTTCATATTGGAGATGGAATCAAACAGAACTTGTATTGCTTGTGGTGAGATGGAAAGAAATCAATACGGCTGTCAGACATCAGGGTGGTTTTGCTGGTCGAGGAGATAGGCAATAGAGTTAATGTACAAAACAAAGCATATAAAATCATGGCACAATATTACTAAAGAGAGAGAAAAAATAGAATAATGACAGAAATTTACATGATCGTATTTACTTTTATTCTTTTTACTGCCTCTTTAACAACATTAGTACTGAATCAAAGAAGGAAAAATGAACATACTAATTTTTTTGAGCTCTCTGTGTAGGAAGGGCTACATGAGTGCTATTAAATATGAATTAAATGTAAATCTTAATTTCAGGTTATTTAATAAGATATACTAAACAACATAATTTAATAGCTAGACATGTATTAGTAAATGACTTTTAGAAATAATTCAGCTATTTCATTACAGTAGTTTAATTTTTGAAATTGCTCACTGAAATAAGTGCATGACAAACTTCATGAAAACTGCCGCATTACAACAGAATATACTAAATATGGCGTTACATTTTTTTTATGAATAACGTATTCTCAAAAAACAGAATGTAGAAGCTAACTAAGACCCAAACGTCCACTGACAGTATAACAATAATTCTCTGTTGTAGTAATATATTAAAATCGTGTGTCTTCTCTGTGATATTTTAAGATAATTTATTAATTGGCAGCATTAACCATAACTTTTATTTATAATTTTTTAAATTTAATATTGACTGATTACAGTTTTTGGCTGCCAGCTTCCAGTTAAATAGGCATGAACTGTGTGTTTACGAACATTCAGGATGATTTCCTATGCTTATATTATGTTTAAGTTCCAAACATAACTCTGCATTCTAGGCCCATCTGGCTGACATTGCCAAGATCCATCTTAATTTACTGGCTACAATCAGTTGTCAGTTTTAGATAACTTCTTCAGTTGTCATTACATATTCCCATATACATTCAGTTATTTAAGGAAGTTTAGAATAAAAATACATAGCAGCTTAATCTTCTTCATTATCTGGTTGGTCTTTTTGAAACGGAAACTAGATAAGTACCCATTAATGAAAGGTAGTTTGATAGAAGGGGATAGACATCAAGTTATTCTTAACTTGATGCCAACGTGAAAAACTAAGATTTATTTTAAAGAATTCCAAAATGTTAAGTTTGCAGAAGGATTTGCATTTTCATGTTACTTTCTAGGTATGTGATTCCCTCCTCCCCCCTCCCCCCCCCATGTCTATTAAAAATATTACTCTATTAGTTCTGGAGGAATTATTTTTGTTACGGTCATATTGTTTTAGCAGTGCACACATAACTCATACTGACATTAATGGAAGTTACGCATACATGTTAACAGTAAAATGCAGCATGTGTTCATATCCATCATTTTGCCCAATTGTCTTAACGCTTTGTGCTCTTTCTATCTCTGAGCATAAAAAGAAGATGCACTTTTTTATTTTTTAGTAAGTGCTAGTTTAAAAAAAAAATCTGTATCGCGTAGTGTGACAAAAGGCACGTTAATGTTTTGGAAAAAATGTATTTATCATCCACCAGTTGAAAAATCCCAAAATGTTTCAATTGGCCTAAACTTAAAAACTTGTAGTTAGAAATATATATCCAGACTACCTTTTCCAAAGACTGTTTTTGTTTTCTTAGAGTCCATAAGAAGGAGCGCAGCCCACTGAGAACTTCACAAGGCTGGCCTAGAAAAGCTTATTCATTTTTGTAATGTGAAGATCTTGAGGGTAGGAGAAGTTTCTGTGCTGTGATGTGGTGGAGGTTTTTTCAGATGTTTCAGAAATGCCATATTTGTAGGGCATACTTTCATGACCACAAGGCATCCAAAATACTTTCATACAGATGTCCTTTCCTATATGGTGGTTCCTTCCAAAACTCATAAACTTGCTTGTAACAAAATTAGATAGCTGTAGAGATAGATGAATTATTATTCATATAATATTAAAATTGCTTTATATAGGTATATGAAATAAATGCCTGTCCTTATGGAAAGTGGATTTTACTCTGTGGGATAGACCATCTTTTTAGAAATTATGAAAATTATTTTCCCTTTGAAAGATATGAAGTTTAACCTGGAGAGCCAATAGTTATAAAATAAAGTCTAATGGCATGTGAAGGAAAAGATATAAAAATTATTATCACCTTTTTTGTTAGTTCAACTTTTAAATTATATGCAGGTAATTTTCAAGCGGCAACCACTGAAGTAAAAAAACAGCCAACCCCCCCAAACACCAAAAACTTGCATATCAAAACTTGGAGTTTTCTTGGTTAAAAGCCCTTAAATTAACTTTCTGTGGTGTTTACTCTACTTAGAAATATGTTTAAATACGAGATTTAAAAAAAAACTATTTTATTGCGGTTTTGCATTAATTTGATGATCTTTCAGTGACTTAGTTACATGTGACAAACACTGCACTTAGTAGTGAGTAACCATAGGATTAAACCCCCAAAAGACTGAACTTCATGTTTTGACTTGAAGATCTGTGAATTCCTAATTTTTGAGATTCAACTGTTAATTATTGTTTCCTTTAGCAGTCAACTCAGTACACTCAGTGCTCTGAAGCTTTCAGGGTATCCTGAATGAAATTCTTGCCAAGAGCTTGAAAGGCAATTTCCTTGCCCTTGATAGAGTTCATGCCATCACCTGTGGGTATTGCTAAAACAGTTTTGTTGGAAGTGAGTTTGCCTTGAAATTCACTACAAATTTCCAGAAGAATATATATTTTCCCTTATGTGGAATAAATCAGATTACTTCAGTAACGAAGCATTAAAGATCTCCTAATAAAATAACCAGCTACTAGTCCTTTTATTCAATAATAAAAAGAGAACATTGCTGTCCTGTCCAAAAAAAATGTAGTTTTAAATTAGATTTTGCAGTAAATTTTCTTACAGTGACAGTAT